ATCTTAATGTATAAAAATTCTATATCGCGTCGTTCACGCTAATATCACTTAATCGACTTTAATGATTTTTTTTAAAACGTTTATTATTCGCTCTAACTTTTTTTTATGCAATTTAGAATGGCAAACAAGCTGACGACCCACCTGATGGAAAGTGGTAACCGTCGCCTATAGATATAAGCAGTACTATGGACATAACAGAGTATACTGTTTTGCCTATGATACTCCCTATGCGTTGTCATTTCTTAGGACTAAGGTGTTATGTCTCTGTACCCTGTAAATTCACTGCCATATCCCACCCTTCAAACCGAAACACAGCCATGCAAACACAACTACTTCACGGTTGAAACACGAATGGGACAGAGGTGCCCAAGCAAACGACTTTTATACAAAGTCTCGCACTAAGTTGAGAGATAGGATGATTCGATCTCTCATTTTTATCTTAATAAGAAATAAATGCGGTCAAGTGTGAGTTGGACTTGTACCACGGGTGCCGTACATATTATAATAGGAAATTGGAAAAATATATTGTGATATATAACTACGAGTACAAATTCAGAGGTTTTCGATTTTTCTCTTTACTTGTGTTGAACGATATTCCTTTATGCCAAATGTCATGGTTCTCGGCCAACGGGAAATATAGGTTTTGATTCCCTTGTAAATGTCAAAATATACGGTATGAATATATGTATGTATGCTGCATCTTTTGATTGCGTTGACTTTTTAAATTGATTTTTTCACAAATTTCTGGTATTGCAGATTTACTTTACTTATTTTATTTAATACTTTATTGTACACATTAGTTATAAAAATATGACAGAGGTAAACAAAAGTACAAAGGCGAGCTTAACTCTGATAGAGTTTTCTTTCAGCAAACCCAAAGTGGAAAGGAGCAAGTATTTGAAATTAGTTTCAAATTGATATCTTCACGCGTTCCTGAGAAAAAAGGTTTTGATACTTGTAGATGGACAATAAAGTGATTTTATAAGAGATCTGTTTTTCCTTTTATATGGCATGGAACCTTAAAAGTGGGCTTGGTTGGGAGCAAAATAACTTTTGCCATATCAAGTAATATTATAATTTAGGAGTGTTATACATAACATACGTACAGTTTCATTCTAACAACCATTAAGCTACATTTCTCTAGACAACAGGAAGTAAAAGAGAGATATACCTTGTAAAGGATAGAAGCTTTTTCATAATTATTGCAACGGGATAGATGTTATGGTATAAAGAGAGATGAAATAAAATATAGACGATGGTGAAGGTCAACGATATTTATTTAAAATCAACGATATATATTTATATGATGATGATTATCATCATCAGCAGCAGTTAAGTATTCACTGCTGAACATAAGCATACTCCTTGTGGTATTTTGCTAGTAGTTGCCACGCTTGGCATACGAGTTGGTAATCGCAGTTATGAGGGGGGAAAGTGATTGTTAGTAATGGGGTCTAATTGACCTATTGCTAGCAATACACCCTATCAGGTCGACCTCCACCCGGTTCCCCCTGGAAACCGTCATGTTTAATTTTTATGCAAGCTAATAGAATTCGTCACGATGGGCTAACTGACCTGCCTTTTCATTCTCACCTGTCAACCCTCACTTGTGTCCTGCCAGTGTATCCTGATAACGCATGCGGGGTTATCATTCTATTACCACCCATTAAAAAAAACGCAATTAGGATTTGGTGACATTTTAAGAGAGAAGCTGCTGCCCATCCCTCGACTGTAAAATTCCCTTAGTCGCTTCTTACGACACCCACGGGAAAGGAAGGCGTCGTTTATTCTATGCTGGGACTATACGGTCAAAAATATTTATATATAAAATATTAATTGAACTAAATTACCATTGAAAGTATCGCGTGACTAACTAGTTGAGAGAACTAGGTGTCGCAGTAGCTCTATATTAAGCTTTGAATAAAATTGACGATAAATTATTAAGCACATTAAAAATAAATATAGACTTCGTTTGTAATTAGATAGATAGATAGATAATTTATTTACATTACTTACAGCACACGAATAACAATAAAAAAAAACATACACATAATACACAATAAAAGAGATAAAAGAATGAAAATAAAAAAGCACAAAACAAAAAAAAAACAAAATATAAAAACTAACAATCTCCTTTCTTTCCCTTCCTTCATGCGTGTGCCATAGTAACATAAAATGGTCACAGCTCAGTTTATTGCTTTGCCCTTAAAAAAGCAAAACACTGATATTAATTAATTAAATAATGTTATTTTTAAATAATAATATTTTTTTACTTGGTGCAATAAAGTGTAAAACTGACGATAAATTATTAATCACATTAAAAATAAATATAGACTTCGTTTGTAATTAATTAAATAATATTATTTTTAAATAATAATAATAGTTTTTTACTTGATGCAATAAAGTGTCAAATTGACTATAAATTATTAAGCACATTAAAAATAAATATAGACTTCGTTTGTAATTAATTAAATAATATTATTTTTAAATAATAATAATAGTTTTTTACTTGATGCAATAAAGTGTATTGACGATAAATTATTAACCATATTAAAAATAAATATAGACTTCGTTTGTAATTAATTAAATAATGTTATTTTTAAATAATAATAATAGTTTTTTACTTGATGCAATAAAGTGTCAAATTGACGATAAATTATTAACCATATTAAAAATAAATATAGACTTCGTTTGTAATTAATTAAATAATGTTATTTTTAAATAATAATAATAGTTTTTTACTTGATGCAATAAAGTGTCAAATTGACGATAAATTATTAACCATATTAAAAATAAATATAGACTTCGTTTGTAATTAATTAAATAATGTTATTTTTAAATAATAATATTTTTTACTTGGTGCAATAAAGTGTAAAACTGACGATAAATTATTAAGCACATTAAAAATAAATATAGACTTCGTTTGTAATTAATTAATTAATATTATTTTTAAATAATAATTATTTTTCACTTGGTGCAATAAAATGTGAAATAAACAAATAATAATGTTACCATGAAGGTGGCATACAAGCCACATATACAAGGCCTATGGAAGTCTGCAACACTAGGGGTGTCACGTGCGCGTTGCTGATCCTCCAGAAACTTTAATATAGGATATATTTTGAAGAACGCCAATTTGGAGTGTCAAGGGAAAACCTCGGCAAGGAGTACATTCCACGGCCTGAGCGTTCGCAAGAGAAAATTCTTTTGTAACCGCACTGTACGTGATCATTAAGGTTCAAGCGTGTGAGGATAAATTCCCTGTCGATGGCGAGTGGTGGGATGATAAAAGGTGGCTGTGGGCATAATTTTTAACAATTCCTTAGAACACAATCCGTTATACAAGCGGTAGAACGCACAAAGTGTGGCAAAGTCTTAATTTCGACTTTATTTTATATTACATAAAGATATAAAATATAATAGAATAAAATAATATAACTATACAATGCTATGTGCATTAAATCTAAAAAAAAAAAATATTTGAGGACTTGTTATAAGAGCAATAGATATAGAAACAATAATTTCAAAATCATTGTCTTTCTGTTTGTATGACTACTCTGGCATCACGCAAAAACCGCTGCATCAAATTAATTGTAGTATCCACAGTTGTGTTAATCTAATCTAACTTAAAATCTGCTGTAGGTTTTATCCTTAGATTATATAGATAGAGCATATCGAGCCTCAAAATCGGGTCAATTTTTTGACAATTAGCTGACTCGTTTTTACATTAATGTTCTATATACTTACGCACACAATGTATCTTAATGTATTTATATTTAATTATTTAATAAATATATTGAATTTTTGTGCATTAAAAAGGCGCAGAATTTATAAGACAAAATAAATATAGAAGTTATATCGGAATCACTCATAATTATTTATCTATATTAGGTATTTAAGATAAATAAGAATTACTCCTTTTTTTAAATCGGTTCAAAAATATTTAATTAATCTACATCTACACTAATATTATAAAGAGGAAAGATTTGTATTTTTGCGTGTATGTATGTTTGTAATGAATAAACTCAAAAACTACTTTGCCGATTTTAAAAATTCTGTCACCATTAGAAAGCTACATTCACCCTGAGTAACATAGGCTATATTTATTGCTAGAAAAGATTAGGGATCCTTACTAAAACTTTAGTAACGTAACTCAAGGTGTACAAAAAATGCTATAAAATATCTTTCGTCGCGTGCGCTGCGGAAACTATTGGTGATAGAACAAAACTATGTTCTACAATATTGAAGAAAATATCAATAACTACAAAAAACTTCGCGATACTATATGTCCAACTATTATCGTTATCTCATAATAACCTCTTTTCACATTTCAAAAGTGAATAGAAATACCGACTAAAATTACACCATGTTATTCATACTTCTGTTAAAATCCTTATCCAAATAAATCATATTGTTTTCAAAAACTGTTTCAATTTATGTAGAATTATGTAGGATCAAAAAAGAATGTAAAATGTAGTAAAAGTGTCCACCTGGGCGAAGCTGGGACGGGCCGCTAGTATTTAAATAAATTTGCAGAAAATCAGTACTATTTTATTTCTCTAGTGTGGCAAAATATGGTGGTAACTCCTTTCATTAGAATCCATGACAATATTAAATATAAATATATCAAATATGTTTTCTTTTTAGAAGAATTCGTGTGGCAAACGTACAACGATGCAACGATTGCATTTCTCATTCCCTTTATAAAGTTTGACTGAGTGCATTTATTATGCAGATAGGTCATTCAGCTCGAGCTTTTCTAGGTTAATTTGAAAAAGAGTTCATCTATTTACACAACAGAATAGAATATTTAAAAAAAAATATTAAGATCCAACTGAGATTAAGAAAATCGAATATAACAGTTTGTATTTAATTTTTAAAAGATTCCATCAAAGAAAACATTGCACGAAACCTATAATGTTATTTTTTTTTATTTCCTTTTTAAATTAGTCATAGACAAAATGCGATTCTGAATATAAAAATTCGAAATTGGAACTCACCGACGAGCGCGGCGAGTAGTGCAATAGTTGCGGCGAGGAGGGCGGCGGCAGCGGCCGGTGCGCGAGTCATGACTGCCGCGTCCCGTCCATGCCGGCCGCAGCGGACGCCCGCCCCGCGCCCCCGAATGCGGCAACTGCGCTCACACGGAACCATTTCCATTTTCATCACAACACAAAAGAAAATTCATTGAAAAAGACGAAATATTCATATATTTATCATCAACTGCTGTCAAGACAGATACCGTCGTCTTCAAAGCGATTAAAACATTTGTCAACTGATAGTAAAAAGTTTGTTGTCATAATTGAAATCTCAATGAACTTTGAAGGATTTTGTTATTTGTGTTTAACCTGCAAAAACCTTTACTGCGCTGTTAGTTTATGCTGGCGGTGACCAGTGAGGGATGAAGGATGGTAGGTGAGGTTCAAGTCAGGTCAGTGATGAATTCACCAGGATTTAACCACGACCATTTCCAGGAAGGATCGCGTTGATCTCTTTGTGACTGTATTAGTGATGAGATAATTAGACTTTTTACTCTATCCTTCTTCATGCTGGTAACTTGTTACAAAATAAAGTTATCGATATGGGGGAGGGTGGAAGGGCTTATAAGGAATGCGACCTAACAATCTCATTGCTAGCAATATACCCTATCAGGTCAACCTACCTGCTGTCCTTGGAAATTAGTGCATTGGGCTAATTGACCTGCTTTTTCTATCTCATCTATCATCCTTCATAGGCCTTCCACATAAAGGGGGGTTTGCCAGTAGTTGCCACGCTTGGCAGCCTGATCGTAACCTCATTTAGGCTTTTAGTGATGTTTCAAGTGGGATGCTGCTGTTCATCTTTTGATTATTTATCGTATAACATCATTAAGTTGCCATAGTTACCTCTGACGACACCGACGGGAAAGGAAGAGATGGATCGCTACGTTCTTATATGGTGTGAAAGTGTGAAAAATTCCTAGATACAGAAACATAAAACTAACACATTTTGCAATATACATACAGCTGTTCACAATTTATAGATAATAAAAATAATATATCAAATAGGTTGACTTGGAGAGAATACTCTATAGCATTAAGTACAAATAACTTTATTTTGTTTAAAAAATGGATAAATGGATGGTTATGATACATATATTTAAATATTGTTCACACTCTTCACCAGAATCTGGCGTACAAAATTAATTTGATTGTGTTATGAACACAAAACAAAAACCGAATGTCACATAGAATATTTTACAGTGGCAACATATTTACTAATTAATAATACATACATATCTGTCATGCCTGTCTCCCATTAGGGTAGGCAGAAACAATGGAACGCCAAATGCTTCGATTCAAACAAACCTCTTTCGCTTCTTCCACATTCATCAATCTTGTCATACACGCTCGCCGGTTACGGGTACTTTTAATTTAGCCCTTCTCAGCACGTCGCCTATTTGGTCGACATACGTCCGTCTAGGGCGGCCCCTACCGACATCTCCATTCATTCTTGCTCGATAAATCTCTTTCGTAATTCTTCTTTCATCCATCCTCTCCAAATGACCAAACCAACGCAACATTCCTTTTTCGATTTTTGTCACTACATCGTCTTTCAGTCCACACTTCTCTCTAATCACACTGTTTCTTACACTATCTTTTAAACTAATACCACAATAATTTATAATACATTATATAAATTATAAAAAATGCAATCAATTAATTGAGTCATATTATATTTTAGTTTTAAAATTATTAAAAAATTAATTAACTGAGTGTAAATATTTTTCTATTAGCCCCACCTTTTTAGTTTCTTTTTAAGCATATTTAAGGGTAGTGTTTTCATTTCGTCCATTAGTTTATTATAAATGCTTATTGTCATACAGTAGGCATTTCTGCTATACAAAGTTGTAGTTTTATAAGGTAATACAAGGTTGTGAGCAATCCTTGTGTTAAAATTACAGAAATCACTCATTTAGTCAATTTTTGCTAGACATACTTATCTTAGCATTCTATTTTCATAAATTGAATGATACATAGACGTAGAATAACATGAATAGCCATGACTATAGTAATCTATGTTACCTATATTATTACAGTTGACGATCTTGATGGTATAGTGGTTTAGAACATTGACTCGGCTTTTGATAGTCGTGGCTTCGATCTCCGACCGATACTAGTATTTGCATTCATAAATATGTCTGTATTGGTCTGGGTGTTTTATATATGTATACGTATAATGTATTTACATCTTTATATATTAAAAATATATAATAATAACAGTAAATAAAGAATACGTCTACGGCAGACAAAAAAGCGGCCATGGTGTAATGGAAAACAACACCGTCAGTGATCACATAGCACGAGTCCGCATTCAATTTGCACCCATGAGGCGTGCAAGCTTGTTTTACGGCAAAAATAATGCCCTTTTATTGCCCACTATAGATAAAACTATGTTTAAGGTGTATCCACATGTGATACGGCAAGGCTATATCCATAAGATTCTATTTAAATAAAATATTTACGATTTCTTCTCGACGCCTGTGTAGTGATGGAGTAAGGATAAAACGTATCAGCACATCAATTCACTTCTAGGATCTCGTAAAAGCTAACTCGAAAAGATAGGGAACCAAGTAAAAAACATCAGTGGAAGTAAACAAAATTGTTATATAAATACCATTGTGATAAAGAAATAACAGGGAAATATTAATAAGTTCTTATGGTTCTTTCAGGATTTGCAATATGGGAGTAAAAACTGAATGATGTGTACATTGGATGAATCATAGGTTGTGTTTTGAATTGATTAATATTCTACATATAATCAGCTTAATTTTGGAAAGTCGAACTCTTTCATGGGCATAATTTTTTTTATTAAAGGTAATTAATATCAAAGATGGTGGTTACCATAAGTAAATATAGAATATTTTTAAATAAAGGACAGAGATGATCTCTGTAGTCAAGAGGAGGATATGTGAATTACTACTACTAAGTTATTTAAAAACTGGCATTTTACAAAACTAAAAAAGGATCTGATATGAATGATAACCTAAACGTGTCAAGATAATAAAATAAAATGAATTTATAGTGTAAAATTTTCCAATTCAACGAACTGGTTGCATAAAATTTATAAAAACATTTTTTGTTGGGTGTGACGCGGGTCTGATTGACAGTTCTGTTTGTAAAATAGGTAGGATAGCAGGTATTATACTTAATCTATGTTTAAAATAAAATAAAAAAAATAAAGGTACCAGAGATATTCAGTACTCAGAGATATTAAGTATATAATAATTTATCTGAACTTAGTATCTTATACATTTTTAAATGTATGCAGAGTATATTATGCCGGGTTGGCGTAACAATGGAAACTAAATACTATTATATATTCTGTGATAGAACGCTGTAATAATATAAGCAAACAGAAACTGTTTCAAGTTCTGTTTGAGGTAGTTTGGACCTTTTGGATACAGAGTACTTGATATTTTATTTATTCATGAGAGTTCTCGTCAGTGAGTCTTCTTCGTTAGTTTCAACTTGTTGGTTACAGTGGCGTGGAGCCTATAGAAATTGATCAGCGGAATCCCTCAAGGATTTTCTATTTTGCGCAATCAAAATAAAAAAAAGATTTACCCCTTTATTCATAAAAATTTAAAGCTCCTACAAACCTATCTTAACTATTACAGTGCTTTGTCACTTTCATTAAATTTAATAATTTTGACCATAAGAAAAAGACAAAATACTTCAATAGCTAAAATTGGTTTATGGAATGTTCGACGTTTTTATGAATAATGGGGGTTGCATTATTAAAGGAGGGGGGGGGGAGGTGTACATCCCAGAAGTATCTGCCCACCCCAGGATGCATATGGACACAGGCTTATTGCATGGACGTATTTCTGAATAGGATATGGCAGCAAATTACATAGACTGCAAAAATACGAGTAGTTATAAAAAATTACTTATAAATAAAAAACGTATTGTGTGAATTAAACATAGTTTTTTTTTTTTTAACTCGGATTACAATGGAAGGATTTAAATAATATGGTATCCATGGCCACTTTCTACCATCGTACAGCTCACCATCAACAGGTAGTTCACCACCATACCTTAGAGCCTGAATGGTCGCGTACAACGTGTTTTCAGAGTCACGTTGTGAAATGAGTTCCCTGTTGCGGTTTTTCCAAGAGATTTCAGAATGGGGTTCTTCAAAAAAGGGGTAAAGAGGTTTTTTCAGGATCGACCACGTGCGAGTAATGCAGGTATTACAGGCGTCCATAGGCTACGGTAACTGTTTACCGCCGTGCCGTATGCTTGTTTGCCACCTCAGTGGTATAAAAAAATGGTTTTCAACATATTTTTACGATTACAAAGTATCTCCTTACCTACATAATTAAAGCTTGACGTTGTTATGTTACTTACTTTAGCCTCTTAACACTGTAAACAAAACTGTCCCCTCGAGCGAGGGCGGTGTTTAACTATCTCTTTACTGCTAATAGGGACCATTTATGAGAGAACTCCATTTCGTAGATGTTTACATGCATCCATGGCGCCAGCGTCATTGGACGCCTACAAGAATCTCCTATCATTATTGTTTGGATGACGGTAATACCGATCATTTAAGCTAAATAGTGTTTACCGCGCATTTTTAAGTGTTATAAAAAAGAACAGGGCCCTTAAGTCGATGGTATATTTTGTTATCTATATCTTCGTCCACTGCTGAACATAAGCCTCCCTCGGGGAGGTTTTGCCAATTGTTGCCACGCTTGATAGGTGGATTGACAACCACAGTTAGACTTAAGAGATGTTTTAAGAGGGACGTACTGCCCGTCTCTCGCCCTCCCTTAGTCGCCTCTTACGACACCCATAGGAAAGGAAGGGGTGGCTTATTCTATGCCGGGACCACACGGAAGGGCTGATATAATGATGTTGATATATCTTCGTTAAATATGAACTTTTTTTTATTAATAGATAAGTTTTTTTAGTTATAATTTTTTTTATATTATATATACATGTTTCATACACATTTGGTTTGAATATGTCCGGTGTGAAGGACCAAAAGGATTAATAGTATTTAAAATAAAAAATATATATGGATACAAAATAATAGATCAGGGCTACTATGGACGTTACAGTATATTTATGGTGCTGTTC